TTTTGGATCATTCTCCTGCTGCATGATAAACTTCCTCTCAAATTGTTTGGATGCATTTCTCTGTAAATTGGCAGACAAAATGTTTCTGTACACTTCTGAATTCATTCTGCTGTTAATATCATGAGTTATATCATCAATAAATATAAATGAGCCTGTTCCAGAGGCAGCCATGCAAGCCCAAGCCAAGACAATACCTCCATCATGCTTCACATATGAGCTTGTATGTTTTGGATCATAAACAGATCCTTTTTTTCTCCACACTTTGGCTTTTCCATCACTTTTGTAGAGATTAATCTTGGTCTCATCAGTCCATAAAACTTTCTTCCACGACTTTTGTTGTACATCTCTGTACTTCCTAGCAAATTCCAATCTGGCCTTTAGATTCCAATCTGCTAATAAGTGGTTTGCGTCTTGTGGTATGGACTCTATATTTCTTTTCTTGAAGACTTCTTTGAATAGTGGATTGTAAAACCTTCACCTCTGCACTATGGAAGTTGTTGGCGCTGTCATTGACTTTGTTTTGGGGTTTTTCCTCACAGTATTTCTGTCATCATCTGCTATTGTTTTTCTTGGCCGACCTGTTCTATGTCTGTTGTTCAGTACACTAGTAGTTTCTTTCCTTTTCAAGACATTCCAAATTGTGGTGTTGGCTATGCTCAATGGTTTTCCAATGGCTCTGACTGATTTTCCTCCCTTTTCCAGCTTCAAAATAGCTTGCTTTTCTCTCTCATCTTATTGTTGGTTTATACTTTTTAACAAGAAATACAGACTTTACAGGTGAAACCCAAGGCTAAAACCAAAAGTAGTCATTCAGAGGAATTTAATGTTTAAACAATCAATCTAAAAGGCAACACCTTGATAACAAGAAACACCTGTCAGCCATGTGTTCAAATAGTTTTGCTCACTTTAAAAATGGATGGATTCAAAAAAAAGGTGGTATGTCCTAAGTTGTTTAACACATCTAAATGTAAATACCAGGAAATAAAAGCTGAAATCCTCAACTCTCATATTCATCGTTTGATCTTAAACCCAAATGTCTTCAGTGAATAACAAAAACAAAGGAATTGGTCTTATTGTTCCAATACTTTTAGAGAGGGCTGTACATATTATAGCATATAGTATATAAACAGTGACATGCAGAGGTTTGGTGATGCCTGGGACAAACTCCTTGATTGTATACCTACCTCTAAGACTCAAGTGTATATGGCCTAATACTTAGAAATGTAAGAAAGGAAGGCATTTTAAATATGTAAAACAGACAAAACATGAAACAAACACTTTATTAAAATTAAATATAAAGTAAATTTTTATTTCATTCTTTGATTGGATGCCCTCCCAGTATGGATGCCTGGAATCATCACACTCTCTGCCTCACATTCTACATATGACTATATATATATATATATAAGATATATAATAAATAATGAGGAAAGGGGCTTAGAAAATCTGGCACTTACAAGATATACTGAAGTCAAAAGTGGGAGAAGTAAACAGTGAGTAACATTCATAATGAGTTTGTATAAAATAGATTACAGTATGTGAACAAGGAGGTATAGTCAGGGGTCAACATTGCTTTGTGCTACAAGAGATAGGGATTCATGGAGAGCCATGAATTCCCATAATCTTACTTATTATAAAACGCAGATTGTGTGTGTGTGTGTGTCTGTACGTTTATATATTGGATCAGATTTCCTACATTTTTCAACCCATTTCAACAAAACTTCACAGGACTACGTAAAATTACCTTGCGGTAGTTCTAACAGTGCCAAATATTGGAAAAACACAATTGTTTTTGCATGAAATCAATTTGAAAACATGATTAAGAATCATCGCGAAAATGAAAGGGGGACATATCGAGTTATACTTATTATAAAACTCAGGTTGTTTGTGTGTGTCTGTGTTCGTTTATATATGGGATTGAATTTCCTACATTTTTCAACCGATTTCAACAAAACTTCACTTTTTTTGGCAGGTAGTGTTTCTTATTGTCTTGCACACTTTTTTCTTTATTTTTACATTCAGAATGCTTTAAAAATTCCATTTACAAGACAATTGCTTATAATAAAATTCTATTCAATCGGTAGACTCATAACAATTGAAAACAATGTTTTTGCTTGAGTTTGGGTTTGACCAATTCGTAAAAAAAAAACAAGAAAAAAAACTAATTAACCTTAAGCAACCTTAAGCAATAATCTTTGTCAATTTTATTTTTCAATCTTTATAATGGTGGATACTTGATCTATCTCTTACTGTTACATCCCTGGGCAACGCCGGGCTCTACTGCTAGTGGCACATAAAATCAATCAACTGAAATTATCACATACATCCTAATTTCTGAATCTAATGGCATTTAAAAAAAACCTCTACCACCCAGTAATAATAAACTCCATGGCCAAATTTTCAAGGTTTGGCTATAAATGCCACAAAACTAGATACTGCTTGGCAAGCACTTGACTGCTTAAAGTTTCTGCAAGTGGCTACTTCTGATGATATTCACTCATAAGTGTGAAGATCAAAAGTTTCTAAATAAATCCCTCACTGGTTTATATCTACATGTAAGAGTTGCCAAGAATTCAAAACTTCCTCCAAACAAATTGTCTCCATTGTCATAAAAATATGGTTATTTTTGGCTAATCTGTATTTCATTTATATATTACTCAAACCATAATGGATATTCATTCAAAAATATAGTTATTTTAATGAATCTGTATATATATATATATATATATATATATATATATAGTAACATACTAATATGTTAATATTATACCAATATTAAAAGTTAAAAAGTATAGAGTATATTCTTGGTTGAGGAAACTGACTACTACCAACTACTAATCTCTTAGCCATATCTTTAACCAACCCTTCTCTTTCACATTCCCTCCCCACTACCAATCTAAAGTGTCCGTTTGGTGTACTTTCTCCATTTGTGCAGAAGGTTTTGTTCTGATGAGCTGAACATCTCGGTACTAACAAAATGAATAATTAAAGTCTTTGTCTTCTTACTATCATTATAATACTCTATCGACTACATTATTTTTTAAATGGATACTCATATTTGAGTAGATGCTCTGTTTTTATTTATTTATTAAACAGTATATTTATTTATTTACATCTACCAGCCTGAATATTTAAGAAATCTTTTTAGAAAAATATATGTCAGAGCTAATAACAGTTTACCCTAGAGGATGCAGGTTTGAATCCTGTTGGAGAGCACATATTTTTCTAATATGATTTCTCAAATATTCAGGCCAATAGATGTAAATAAATAAATATACAGTTTAATAAATAAATAAAAATAACATAACTACTCAAATATGAATCCAATAGAGCACATTTGGGATCACCTTGACCAAAGACTTTGAGAGCATGCAACCAAAATCACATCAGTGGCAACCCTTAAAGAAACATTGCTAAACAAGTGGCAAGATATGGATCAGACGATTGTTGATCAAATCCATGAAAAATGGATTACAAGCACTGAAACTAGCAAATGGAGGAACTACTCCATACTAGTTCTAAATACTGTTTGTTTATGTTGAATAGGGATTACGTAATTAAATTTTGAAATTGGATGTAGTTTATTTCTCCTGGCTAAAAACTTTTCTTAGACCATTAGTGTATTTGGGCAGCAGTTTTTCATTTATACAAGTTTAGTTAAAGACAAATCAAAGTTCTGTTTATTTTTCTTATATTTCAAACCATTTACCTGATTTGCAGTGAAAATTTCAATATAAATTGTCTGAGGTCTGAGCATTTTTGCCTTCCATAAGCCATTATATAGGAATTTTTGTTTTTTATGCTCTATCAGTTTTATCTTTCGCATCCTCATATGCCATGTGACCTTTTCAAAACTCTCTCTATATATATATATATATATATATGTGTGTGTGTGTCTGTGTGTATATATATATATATATATATATATATATATATATATTTAAAATAGATTTTTTATTAATCTGACAAATTTTTATCACTTTAAACATTATTTTTAGTGAATACTTGTATTTGGGTTGGCACTCCATTTATTTATCAAACAGTATATTTATTTATCTTTGTCTACTGGCATGAATGTTTTAGAAAACTTATTAAAGAAATAAGCGAGAGAGTGTAAATTTTTCTTTAATAAGATTTTTCAAACATTCATGACAGTAGACAAAAATAAATAAATATACTGTTTGATAAATAAACAGAGTGCCTACTCTATTATGAGTATCCACTAAAAATAACATTTAAAGTTATAATATAAATATATATATATATATATATATATATATATTGTGTATGGGTGGTAGTTTTAACTCCTTTGCATCTTGGTATGACAAAGAAAACTGAGTTAAGACTACCCCACAGACACCACATTGGTTCTTGATAATGACTGGGAAGTTGAAAGTGGTTCAGCAAAAATAACAAAAGATGAACTCTGGACAGTTTTTCCACAACTTCAAGCAAAATACTCAACACCTTATCTAAAAATTGCAAAAATATAATAAACGATTAAATAGACACACCTTGTCAGTTCTTTTTAATCAAAATGTTTGGATGAATACTTGCTGCCTAAATATACCTTTTTCATTCTATATATATATATATATATATATATATATATATATATATATATATATATATGACCACACATGAGTACATGTGTATATCTGACATCTAAATTTAGTTGAAATATTTTCATAGTCATCATGACTAATGAAAAAAAGACAATTTGCTCTTAATTTTAAGCACAGCCTTTAAATGCAAATTAAAAATGTACAATTTTAACTGTACAGATTTGATGAAAAAAAAGTTTTTTCTATGATGACAGCTCAATGTTCTTAAGAAAAAATGATGAGAAGAAATAGAATTCTTTTGAAATTGTCTCTGATATAAAAGGCAAGGCTGGCAGACTTGCAAGATAGGAAACATATAAACAAAGCTTACAGAATAATGAATGGAATTTTCTAAAAGCTGTGGTTTGCTATTAGCCAGACAGTAAAAAATATTCACTATCTTCTTGCATCATTTATTGGGATGATTAGGAAGATAAGAGAAAGAAAGAAGAATAAGAAGAAGATAGAGGGGAAGGAATGAAAAGGAGAAGAAAGAGAAAGTGAACAAAAACAAAGTTTAAAACCAAAGAGGAAATATAAGAGAGGTAGAGATGGATGTAGAAAAGAGAGTAAAAGATGAAATAAAAACAGAATAGTGAATTGTTCTTGCATTAAAAGTAGAAAAGTTGTAGAAAAGGAGAAAAATGAATGCAAAAAGAGAGGGGGAAGAAATGAAGAATTAGAAACAAAGGCTGAAATTAAAGAGGAAATATAAGAGAGGTAGAGAGAGAGAGAATTAGAAAAGAGAGGAAAAAGGAAAAGAACACAAAAAAGCAGAAAGGCATAAAAAAGTGAGAAAAAATGAAAGGAAGAGAGAGGGGAGGAATAAAATAAAGAAGAAAAAGAAATGAAACAGAAAAAATGAAGGGAAAGATGAAATATGATATATATATATATATAAATATATATAAATATAAAAGTGAACATAGAAGTCAACACTTAGAGGCGACAGTCTGTTTCATGCAAGATGCAATCCGCAGCCCTGAGGATTGCATCTAGCATGAAACAGCCTGTTGCCTTCTATGTTCACTTTTATATTTACACATGCTCTATCTCTAATATTGAGCACTTTATCCTATAAATATAGCACATCTTAAGACTATATTTCTTCATATATATACATACATACGTATATATATATATATATATATATATGAATTACATAAAAATGAAACTCAGTTGTACCCCATTTTCATAGCCATTTTTCTCCTCGGGATAAATTCTCTGGAATTTACTAATACTAAAAAAGTTTTTTTTTTAGTGTTGACAAGCTCCAGAAAATTTATCCCAAGAAGCGAAATGGTCATAAAAATATGGTACAATTGAGTTTCATTTTTACGTAATTCATTTCTATGCTCTATAATAAATATATTGAGCTTTCTTTTATGGATCAGTTTTAATATTTTATATTAATAGGATTCACTTGGATTATTTACCTATACTTATTTTTACCTATATATATGTAAGCAAATATATGGATATAGATCTGACAGTATGAAGAAAAATATATGGAAAAACAAAAATCTGAATATGCAAATATGCTGTTTTAATGTTGTTTCAATGTTGACGTCAGACGTTTCGGACTAGTAGACCTTCTTATATTCATAATAAAAATCTTAGACGGATTTATGAGGCAGGCATGATATCTATCTCACACATGGTGAATTCCCCGATTAATGCTTGACAAACGTACTTATAAATTTTAGATTAAAATAAAATTCTTTTTCATTTTTTATTTAAAATATACTCTATTTTAGGAATATGTTTTCACATCACCCATGTGACGCCAACGTGATCATATTGTGAAACAGAACGGTGATCTTAAAAATTTCAGTTATTCTGTTTTGATTAGTCTTTCTCTTAAGTCTATTGTCTTTTCATGTTGACTTGAATATTGTCTAATGTTAATTATGTTTTAATAACTATGTCCTGAAGAAGGTCTACTCGTCTGAAACGTCTGACGTTGACATTGAAACAACATTAAAACAGCATATTTGCATATTCGGATTTTTGTTTTTCCATATATTTTTCTTCATATATATATATATATATATATATATATATATATATATATATATATATATGGAGAAAGAGGGAGTGTGAGAGAGAAAGAGAAATATAGAAAAGAGAGTAAAAGAGGAAAAAGGAGAAAATAACAAAATAGTGAATTGTTCTTGCATTAAAAGTAAAAAAGGTGTATAAAAAAAGAGGAGGAAAAAGAATTAAAAAAGGAAAGAGGAAAAAATGAAGAAAGAAAGAGTGAAACAAAAGAGGAAATACAAGAGAGGAAGAAGGGGGTAGAAAAGAGGGCAAAAGAGGATAAAGGAGAAAAAGACAAAATAGTGAACTCTTCCTTCCATTGGACTAAAAAATAGAAAGTAAGACATAAAAAAGAAGAAAAAAAAGAAGAATGAAAAAAGAAAGTGGTAAATAAAGGAAAAGGAGAAGAAAGAGAAACTGAACAAAAAGCAAGAGTGAAAAGGAAGAAAATATAAAAGAGAGAGAGAAAGACACAGAAAAGAGAATAAAAGGAGAAAAGGAAGAAAAGGACAAAAGTGAACTATTCCTTTCATTGTATTAAAAATAGAAAGATATAAGAAAGAGGAGAAAAGAAGAATGAAAAAAAGACAGAGGCAAAGGATGGAAAAGAAGAAGAAAGAGAAACTGAACAAAAATAAAAGAGTAAAAAGAAAGAGAAAGGGAGAGAGAGAAATGTAGAAAATAGAATAAAAGGAGAAAAAAATGGAGAAAAAGGCAAAATTGTATTAAAATAGAAAGAAAGCTATAAAACAGAAGAAAAAAAGAAAAAATGAAAAGAAGCGAGAGGTAAAGCAAAGAAAAGAAGAAGAAAATAAGAAGCTACTTCATGTTTTATTGATATATCAAATAAATACTTATTGGAATCTAAAGGTATACTTGCTAAATTATGGCAACATATATTTACATAGATAAAATAAAAGCTGATTCATTCTATGTTGATATTAACAAATGGAAGCCATTTGTATGCAATGTCCTGAATTTCAAATTTTCAAATTGATAGCCTCATTGTGAGTTTGAAGCTTTAAAATGGATTGTTAGTCTGATTTGACATACAAAAGTCAGATCAAACCAAAAATAGAACATTACTGCCATATCTAGGCTGAAGCTGCCCAATCCTCACTTTCCAGTCTTGATAGAGTTGAAAATCATCTACACAGCCTTGACGGGGAAGACTTATTTTTCACCCTGCTGACTCTTTCCCACAGATGAAACATTGTAATCCTTTAGCTACTTTATTGCTATTTCCATAGCAAATGTTCAGACAAACTCCATTCTTTCTTTCCTCTAGTTCAAACCAAACCTATACAGCTAAGACCTGTAATGCTACATCTATGGAATTGAGCCATTCTCATTCCACCCATATTTCAATTGTAAACAGGAAGTTCCACTCAGACTGATTTTTTTTTCAAAGAAGTATTGCTTTGTGGAAATGACTCCTACAGGGATGCTTCCCCAAATGCAACAATTGTAATATATCAGGTGTCTTGAGCAGAAGTTTATAATTTATACAAGTTTGATGAAAACTCTTTATACAAGTTTGATGAAAACTCTTTGTTGAGGATTTTTTAAATAATTGTGCTTATATTTTGAAACATTTTCTTGGTTTCTAGCAAAAATTTTAATATGAATTTTTTGATGTTTGAGTACTTTCAACTTCCAGTGGCCACTATCTAGGAATTTTTGTGCTATGTTATTTTTATCTTTTTTCTAAGGTTACATCTTCACTTGTCATGTTACTTTTACAAATATATATATATATATATATATATGGATTTTATTCCATCTATACCAATCCTATACTTGGGTATATATATATATATATATATATATATATATATATATATATATATATATATATATAGGATTGATATAGATGGAATAAAATTCTAATAACCAAAAATGATATTCCTAAAAGAGTGCTCAGTGGAGAGTAGAGATTTGATTTGAACCTTTTCAAACTCTTTATTCTACATTCAACACCATCACCTGAGAAGACACCAGAAGTGTTGAAACAAAATAACAAAATGGCTATTTTTGTAGTGATGTTATAACATGTTTATGTTATAATTTTTAATAAATTATATATATATATATATATATATATATATATATATATATATATCCAGTTGTATATCCAGTTGTCCGCATGGAAATAACTGGAGATATTTGTGCCAGAGTGGTATCATAAATTTTGAAATTAGCTGTACTGATTGGCTAAGAGATGAAAGACAACACCAAAAAGCATTGCTATATCCCAAGATCCTTGCTGTTGCACAATATGTGAACTTCTATGCAGGCCACTAGTGGGACTGAAGTGTTACCAAAGTGGACACTGAGCTCAACACTGAGTGACGACAGTCTGTTTCATGCTTGAACACAATCCTCAGACCATGTAATTTGTGTGTTGGCTTCATGAATTTATATATGCTGGTCAATGGTGAATTATGTGTGTAGCATGGTTTATTGCATTATCCAAATGGTTGTTTTTAATAATCTCTATGTAATTGGATAGATTATAGACCCAAAACATGCATTAATTCTCAGCAAATTTTTCAAAGAAGTCCCAAAAGATGAACTGTGTTACATAAAAACTTTTTCCCCTTTCTCATACTTCTTTCCTCTAATATCTATCTATCTATCTATCTATCTCTCTCTCTCTCTCTCTCTCTATATATATATATATATATATATATATATTGTCATCCACAGACAAACTGTTTTGCTGTATTACAGCTCTTCAGTGTGGTTAGACGTTTAATTGCTTCAAGCCGGGATCAAAACCCTATCGATTTGGCATCAGTCAGAGATCCTATCCCTAGACTATCGTTGCACGACAGAGAGAAAGGTAAATTTTAATGTTTTTTATACAAAATATGCAAGTGGCCGGGAGAGCTCAATTCACTTGAAGAGCAATGCATTAATAGCAGTAGGAGCCATAGTTTTTAAAATGACTGTTTTCTCAAGAGAGCTCAACCGGATTTCAAAGGAGCATATACATTGTCATCCACAGACAGACTTTTTTGCTGTATCACAGCTCTTCAATGTAGCTAGACATCTAATTACTAATTATATATATATATATATATATATATATATATATATATATATATATATATATATATATATAGGAAAATGCATAAATGTGTATGACATATTGCTAAGTTTACTAGAGATATTTTCATGCCTAATAAAAAAAGACAATTAAATCCTAATTTTAAGTACAGAGTTAAAATGCAAATTAAAAAATGTACAATCACACTGTACAGATTTGATGAAACAAAAAAAATAGTTTTCAAAAAAGATAGCTCACTGTTCTTTAGAAATCATGAGAGTCAATCATTACCTATCATCCATATCCTCATAATCTTCATTTCCTACTTTCTACTCTTACATTCATATCACATTCAGTAATCCTCTACCTTTTATTAAGCTTTGTATTGGGTGAATATTAGTAAAAAATTAAAGAGAAATGCAGTGTTGGCAATTGCTGGAAATTGTAAAAATGATCTCAAGGTACCAACAAACTGTGAAGAGGTTAGTTGAAGATTCTAGACAACTGATACTGATAAAGGGAAGTGGAGAACTTTTCTTGTCAATTTATCAAAAAAGAAGTTACAAAAATATTTATCTTTTTCAAGCTATAAATTTTTACGCATTGTGGCAGCAAAGACATATTGAAAAGCACAAGATGTTGCATCATAAATTAAGTAGCAAAACATGTCCAGTGGATCATTAGGCTTTCTTTGTCATGAAGTTTGAAGTTTCAAATTAATAGCCATGTTTGTCTATATTTCTGAAATGAGGTAGTATGATTACTTACATTATTTGGCCTGTTATCCTCATTGTCATATTAATATTTATTAACAACATTTCGGCCATTGTATGCTCTGGCGTTCTTCAAGTGATTGGAATTTCAAAGCGAACCCTTTATTTCATCCACCAGGGTAGATAGTGGATGATATTGCTCATATTGCAATTTTTCTGTTATTATTATTTCATTTTTTTACCAGAGCTTATATTGCAAGTTTTTGTTGTTATTCATTGCTTTCTCTAGCACTTCTTATTACTACCTTGGGTACATGACAGCAGTTCCAACAAAATGGGATAGAAGGGTACAAAAGGATAACAACACTCAGAAAACAGTTTCAGTCTGCCTACCTTATGTGAAGGGATTATTGGAGAAAATACAAAAGATCTGTAGTCCATATATCAGGATAACTTTCAAAAGTGGTTCAACACTTTGCAGACAGCTTTTCTGAATAAGACACCCCTCTCCATAGAGGAGAATATGACTAAGAACTGTATGTATGCCATCCTGTGCAGTTGTGGTAAGAAATATAAAGGAGAAACAGGCCACTCTCTTAAGGTAACACTACAAGAACATCATAAAGTGGTGACACAAGGGGAAATAGAAAAATCAGGCATAGTTGACCACATATGGAGGGAAAAGTGATATCATTACCCCCTGTGGAATGAGGTGTTAGACAGGAAACATCACTGGAAAATACAAAAACTTAAGCAATCAGGACATATGCTAGGATACAAAAATCTCCTGAGCTGACTAAGTATGGAAATAAATACAATATGGGAACCAGTAATAAGGAGTTTTAGAGAAAAGTAATGAATAACAACAAAAAACTGCAATATAAGCACTGGTAAAAAAAAAAATAATAATAACAGAAAAATTGCAATATGAGCCCTGATAAAGAATCAAGGATGAAACATTAGGTTCATAAGTCCCAGAAATTCATACACAGATTTCTTCAAAGTGGATAAAGGTGTTGGTTAGATCCAAAGAGTTGTGAATTCAATACCAGGCTACAGCAGTGGTGAGCCAAAACTTGGAGAGACTTCCAGAAGAGGAATGGCAATCTACCCTGGTGGACAAAATAAATGGTTTGGTTTGAAATTCCAATCACCTGAAGAAGGCTGGAATGTACAATGGCCAAAACATTATGAATATGGCAGTCCGAGTAATGTAAATAACTATATTATATATATAATAATGATAGCCATGTTGTGAATTTGAAGCTTTAAAACATAAAGAGGAATACTTAATGAATGTAAAAAATGTAAAATAATGTTGGATCAAAATGTAAAAATGATTGTCAGGTACACCAAACTGTGAAAAAATTTATTGAAGATTCTAGACGACTGATATGTTTCTCAAGAAAGAAGTTATAAAACATCCATCTCTAATATTTATAGGGCCTTTTGAAAAACATAAGATGTTGCATCATAAATTAAGGTTTGGTTTGGTTAATTTTACATCATATCAACCTCAATGGGTTATTTGATGCTGACAAAATTTTTATTGCTGGTAATATGTTTTTCTTCAAAAATCTATTTCCGGGAATATTTTTCCTTGAAGAAATCTAGAGCTGGTAATAGTTTTTTACGAAAACATATTACTGGTATTAAAACTTATTTTTACACGTTTTGACCCCAGTTTTTTTTGGGGGGGGTTAAGTATTTGCATATAGCTGGGACCCTAACAGGGTTTGGTTTGGTTTGGTTTGGTTTACTGCATATCAACCTCAATGGGTTATTTAATGCTGACAAAATTTTTATTGCTGGTAATGTTTTTCTTCAAAAATCTATTTCTGGGAATATTTTTCCTTGAAGAAATCTATAGTTGGTCATATTTTTTTTCAAAGAATGTATAACTCTTTGTATTGCTGGTTTTTTTTTTTTTTTTTTAAATATTGCTGATAATAATTTTTCCTTCAAAAATTATTGCTGGTGATAATTTTTTTTCTTACAAAGTATTTCTGGTATTAAAACCTATTTTTACACAAGTTTGGGTGTTAACTAGTTGCCCATAGCTGGGACCCTAACAGGTGCTACCACCTTGGGTCAGAGTGGACCTGGAAACACCAGCAATTAAGAGGGGGTTCCACGCTTCTCAACCTTCTGATCAGAGGCCTTGCTGTTGGACGTAGTTTATCGTCTTACCGAGGACACGGATGTAGTTTATTGTCATACCCAGGATGACGTAAATTAAGGAGCAAAACATGTCCAGTGGGTCCTTTAAAAGAAATGATTTTAAGGAAAATCAAATGAGATAAGCAACAGAAGTTTGATTTTTTTAATTGTTCTTTTAACCAGTGAATGTTATGCTACACTTGATAGGCCTGACACATGGAAAAAAGATTTGGTAAGTATTGATGAGGACAGCCTATGAATAAAGACCTTTTGAAGAAGAAGACAATAGAACATGGTGTTGATATATTTTATAGAAATGTGATTGATTAATTGGCCAACATAAATGAAATTTTAAATGTCTCTTTATTTGCTGGCTTTATTATTTTCTCAGATTCTGTACATAACCAATGACAGTCATTATGGCAAGCCCATTGCCAGGGTATTACTAATGTGGGGATATAAAGTCAAGTGAAGAGTGGGTACCAAGTGTGGCCTGTTGGTAGAACTACATTTTCTCACATTAAAATTAGTTCATATCACATTCACAGTTTCAGTGGGTGAGGTTATAATTCTCTTGGTAGGGAGAGTAAGGCTCTACTTCCTCACTCTCCACCTTGGTGACTGGCCTGCATTATGGACTGCATGCATTGGTTTCCAAGTTACCCTTTGCCACTGAGAAGTGGCAAATAATGTAAGACGAAATGTAAGAGTGCTGGACTGCTCTGTAATATCTATCTTAACAATATAACAAAAATAAATGACATTGTGCTGATGGCAGACTCATAAAGGAAACTGAAAAAATTCCTAGACAAGCTATTAAAGGAAAGCAAGAAGAAAGGACTATTAATTGTAAGAAAACAAGGAAAAGAGACAGACCAAGGTGGAAGCTACATCAGAATCAAGAATATACAGAAATTCCACTGAGTAATGTCACATAACAGAAGACAGAAAATATAACACAGAAATCCAAAAGTGTATATGAAATACTGAAAGATATTTTCCAAGACTTAAAGAAATTATTACCGTAATTTCTCAAAAATAATACACATTTTTTTATTGTAAATTACAGGTGATACTAGTGGTGCATATTATAAATAGGTTTAAACAAAAATATTTTTTTCATTATTGATTTATAATAATAAATACATACTTGTTGTTCTAAAATAAGAAAGATATTATCCCAATTTTCATTTTAAATCCAACAATAATAATTCTAACATTTTTTTGTTAATAAATTTGTTTATCAGTAACCATAGTTTTTATTTGGCAAAAAAATTTTAAAAATCTATAAAAAGGCCAATTTTGAAGAAAAGAGGTTATCAAGTTAACAATTTATTGAAATTTTAATTTTCATCATCATTATCACCACTTTCTATTATAGAATCAGTATCTAAATTGTCATTAAACAATATTATCTTCGTCCTGTTCAGAATTATCTTCGGTCTCTTCATTCTCTTGCCAAAGGATGCCATCTTCAGAGCCATCCATGGCTGTCGTGAGACAACACTTTTTGAAACTTCTCTTTATAACATCCTCACTGACAGAATCCCAAGATTCCTGAATCCATTTTACAATAAGTTCCAACTCTGTTTTTTTCCTGTTGCCATCAGCAGTAAAACTGGGAACACCAGAAAACATTCCATTTTTTACACATCTCCTATTTAAATGGACAGTTGCAGACAACATCCATTACTTGAGGTTGGCCATTTATTCTCTCTGGTATAATAACAAGATCAGTCCTCTTCTCCTAAAGTATATTCTTCATGCAAGGCATCATATTGAAACGAAATGCATCAAGAACCAGCATACATCTACTTCTTGCAAATTCTGTTCTGTGTTTACACCAAACATTCAACATCCAGTCCTTTGTTAGGTTCCCATCCATCCGCCCTTTTCCATAACATTTTACTATCATACTGGCTGGTCACTCAACGTTATTGGCAGAGTTTTCCATTTAAAAATTACATAAGGGGGCATCATCTTACCATCACCATATACATCAAACATGACTGTGAACCTATTCATCTCATTTCCAGTTGTTTTTATTGGAACAGACTTCACCCTCCTTTGTATTCCAGATTTGAAAACAAGGCACATCAAAAGTCAAGGGTTTTTGGTCAGCATTTTCAATACAGCCTAAAGTATAGTTGTGCTTCTTTCTTAGCTGAATATTCAAAAGCTTTTCTTCATAGTCATCAGGCAAAGGCTGGGCTATGAATGTTCTCCTAATAGATATATCAAACGTCTTTATAAAAAGAAAACACCAGTTTCAATGGTTTTCATAAGTTCTTTTGCCTTCATCCTTATTTCCACAGTACTCATTGAACATACAAATGATTGTCTTTCTTTCACAAATTGAACTAAACTTTGTTCCATATCTGGATATTCAGATTTTTTTCTTCTACCTATAGCTTTGGCACTTGATTTAGAATTTTTAGCTCATTTTTATTCTTTCTCCATAAATGTATGTTAGCCTCATTCAACTCATATTCTCTAGCTGCAGCTCTGTTTCCTATTCTTTCTGCTAATTCTATTGCTTTTTGTATAAATTTGGACTGTAACTTGTACATTTTGACCACATTTTGGTGGTAAAATAAAATGTTATATTTATCGGGAAAACCGCATGGTAATTTTCAACATTATTTTAGCTGCTTAGTTTCGATTTTATTTTTAATGTCAAGGTCGACAAAATGTCTTTGTAATTATTGTTTTTGGGTTTTTTTGACAAAATTTATAGATGTGTATTATATATAGGGATAGATATATTTTTAATTTTTGGATCCTTTGTTGGGGTGCGTTTTATTTATGGGAGCATAATATATTTGAGAAATTACGGTAATTGATAGACACAAAAAAAGAGTGATGAAATGCAATGTAATATCAATCTCCCAATATGTTAGCGTATGTTGGAAAAATTACTCACTGATGAAGAAGGGACTTGAGGCAACAGAAATCTGGTTTGACAGAAAGATACCAAGGATACCGTAATCAGAGTAAACAATGAAGAACTATGTTCCAGTTGTTATGGTAAAGGTTAAGGTAAATGGAAATAGAAAGGACACATATTCAGAATTCAAAAGAGACACCTGAAATTTCTGGGAAATAATGAGAACAAAGGGCTTAGAGAATTTGACACTCACAGGTCATATTGAAGAGAAAAGGAACATGGAAAACAGCCAGCTTGACAGAACTGAGAGTAGGAGAGATTACAAAACAACAGACATTATTAGGAGGTACAAGGGATAGGAAAATGTGGAGAGCCATGACTGTCTACATCCTAAAGGAAAACAGAACATAGAAGAAGTGAGTATACATACATGCCTACTGACATACACACTATCACCCACACATGCCAACAGACACATTACTGCCATTCACACACATGTATACATACAAGAATAAATACATATATGCATTATATATATGACATTTCTCTAATTATTGGACCAATAGTCCATATTATGTCAATGGAAAAAAAAAAACTTACAATAATAGAAATTGTGAATTACTACATGACTACAATGTTAAAAAATCTAGCGTTGCATTACTGCATGTTCAAAAAAATTCTTAACTGTTAATAATAGCACTTTTTAATAAAACATCTTTCGACAATAATCACATTCATTTTCATCTTAGAATTTTACTCGGAATTACCTGAAATTGAGAAAAAAAAATAACATCTATGCCTGAGGATGGTAAATGTTTTTACCGAAAGTACTTGCAAGGAATATGGACCAAACATCTAATCCATTGTACAATCAATAAAAACAAGGATCGTGTTGTTCATCGAGTGGTCAGTGAATTAATGCCTTCTTAATCTGTTAGCGAAGTGAGTTCACCATTAATTACATTAACTTTATTGATTTATTCATTGAATGACTATTTTACAATATTAATTAAGCTGCATTATATATATATATATATATATATATATATATATTCCATTGTGAGTAAATTACAATGAGGAATAGAAAGAAAAAATAAAAACAAAAAAAAAATTGATAAGAAGGAAAATCAGGAAAAGAATATAGAAAAATAAATAAGTAAATAAATAAAAGAAAGAAAGAATGGTATGAAAAGAGAGAAAGAGTGAATAGAGATAGCAAGAGAAGAAAAAGAACAAATAAGAAAAGATGAGTATGAAGGTAGAGGAAAGAAAAAAAATCTAAATGAATGAATCTAACAAAAGACAAATGATAAAGGAATAAATATATAAAATGAATGAGAGAAAGAAATTAAAAAAACAAAGCAGAAAAATAGAAATGTATAAAGAAAAAAAGCAGTGAAAACAAGAGAAGAAATGTTTATAAAGAAAAGATAAGAATAAAAAAATAAGGAGCTATTGGTAGGAGTGACAGTAGGAGTTAAACAAGAGCAAAATATTGAAGAAAAGTGTTTTAAAAAAAGAAAGAAAGAAAGAAAGAAAGAAGAAAGAAAAGGAAAGGAAATGATTGTGTGAAAAAGAAAAAAACTGAAAGTAAAAAAAAAAGAAAGAGATATTAGGATAGAAAACAGAAAAAAGAACCCAAAAAAAAGGGTAAAATAATGAACAAAAAATGTTTAAACGAAAGAAAGAAAGAATGTAAATGACTGAATAAAGAAAAAGAAAACAAGAGAACAGAGAGAAACCTCACAAGCAGAAAGAAGCCCTGGAGAAATCAAGAAAAAAAAATGGAGGAAGATAAAGACCAATCCTCTAAATCATTGTCTAACTCTCATGAATGCAGAATGAAAACAAAATACTGCATGATAACATTGATGTTAGATTTTACTGGTACCCAGGCTTTGACAGCAGAATGAACTGAGATGACACAGGTGTTGGAATTACATAACCATTTATCGAGCTTGGTTGATTGATAAACAGTATTATTAAATACTGTGCTGAAACTAGTATCTTGTCTTTTTTTTCTGCATTTGTTTCCATTTGCTAGTTTATAGCTTCACATATGATTACTGCTGGCAAGATTAGTTGTAATCGTATATCAACTTGTAACTTGTCAGTTACCCAATATGAACAAAAGATTTTAAATTCTGTATTGGAATTAGATATTATAGTTCAACAATTAAAAATAATAATAGAAGGGTTATATCAATCTGTCATTGTCAATGTCACTTGTCCTGTAACCCAATATGGGCATGGGACACTACACTGTTGCAAGCATCCCCAACTGACCCCATTTTTGGGAGTCATGAGATAGGGCCCTATTTTGGTAAAGATACTCTTCTTGGGATCCGTCTACCCAGGCATTTGTTTTTATCTGAGTGTTGGGATTCCAAACATTTAACAACAACAAAAACACATCTGTTAAATGAAACATAAAAAGGGTTATTTTCTGAATGAGAAGTTGAATGTTAGTTTAAATAACACATATTTTTTTCAGAAATATACAATAACAATAAAATGCTCAATTTTCTTTCCACTTAAGTTTGTTTTATCAAGTTAGTAAGTGTTCATAGTGTATGTAAAATGTGTAGACAGATTTACTTGATGACGGTCAGCCTAATATCTCTGTCAGTGTGTGGACAAGGTCTTAGTTGGTGGCTGTTGGTTGTCATCTGATATTGTGCGTTTGTACGTACATGTAGATCAAACTGGTCTCTGAAATTGTTTTGAGCCTTAAGAAGAAGTATGCTTCTATTTTTATATCTATAAGGGGATTCAAAATCTAATTTCACATAGAGGTGTGAACTTTTCGAATACAAGGTTTTTATTAGCTAGAAAATAATTTCACAATGGCTAGAGAAAATCTTTTTCTCGAATATGTGGGCATGGTGAAAAAAGTTATTGTTATTTTCTAAATGGTCCAGAAATAACATGTGGCTGGTCTACCACTATATCCACAAGTATTTTGGTAGAATTTCCCCTAGTAATGATTGTTTATCCAACAAACATTCTGATGGGATTTTATTGGTTGACAAATATATATAAGATTTAATTCCTATATTCTCTGTCTATTCAGTGATGCTTTCTGCCCAATTCTTATGCTGTCTGGCTCACTACCTTTTCTCTGCACTGTTCCCTGAAGGATAATCTTGGATAGCCCATCAACTCTTGTCACACTGCCATACCATCTTTTCCCTGGGATTATTTATGAAAGGATGGTCTTGGAGGTCTTGTCAGATATTGTCATGGTGTTGGAGTTAACTCCTCCTTTAGTTCGTTAAACCTTTCACCAGGAGTCTCTCTTCCCTGGCTATAAATAGTCGCTGACCCTTCGCCTCTTTCTCTTTTTCCCGCAGGCCTTTGGGCTGACACCTGGAGGTAAATCTCTCTTTTTTTTCTTCAGGCTTTCAGCCTTATTACCTCAAAGATGTGAACATTCACAGAGATAGCGTTTCCCAAATGCTGGGAACACGCTAAGAACAATACACACACACACACACACACACACACACACACACACACATATATATATAATATTCACACACACACTTTGACCTTTGTAACTGTTTCCATGTAACTTGTTATTAATATATATATTTGTATACATATATTATCGGTCTTGTGTTTGTTTTTCTTTGCTTTCTTCTTTGGACTTAATTAAAGTCCAACTTTCTCATGTAGTTTGGACTGGCTAGCAGGAAAATTTTAACCCACATGTGTTTCTTCTACTTATACTCAACGACATCTCAGCCACGGCTAACAACAATGGGCTATATACTGTCTCATTTCTCTTTTTCACTGTGATAAGGTCTTCATACTGATGGCCTGATAGTTTTCTTGGCTCTTTATTTGATATATATCCCTGTAGGAAATCTCAAGGACTCATTTGAATTATTTTTCTTACACTGAATTCTTCTCTGAAGTTTTGCTGTGAGAGTTCAAGACTTTCATGCATATGAGGAAATAACTAGAACAGGAGATTTGGTATTATTCTGCAGATTGATGTTCTTGTCTCTCAATATGCCAACGCTATTACCATCCTGAACTTTTCTAATTTCAGATTCTTCTTGACTAATAGTTGATTTAAGGTATTTAAACTCCTTCACTATTTCCAGCTGTTGTCCATTGACATTAATCTTTGTCTTAATTGTATCTTTACTGTTTGCCAAGAATTGTTTGCAGTACTTGTCATATATATTCTCAATAAATTTGATATAATTTTCATTAATGCCTTGCTTTTATAGTAAGTTAAAAAACTATTGCATGTTCTCCTGAGTTACTTTTCATAACCTGATTACTATCCAACCAGCTTTGTCTGGTAGATTGTCAAACATTTCTGTTGAATGCAATGTCACTATTGATTGAAAATCCTATGCTATGAAACTTGTTACTCTCCCTTCCCTTATGATAAACTTTAAGATATTTTCTTGCCAGTACTTCAGTCTTAGACCCTTCTTCACTGAAATTAGTGCCAATGTACTTCAACTACTTAAGTGTGTCTAGCTGTTGTGTATTTCACTGTGTCAGTCTCTCACTGAATGTTTTTAATTCTTCAGAAAAATCTTCATAGGAAATCGGCTTGGAACATCAATTTTACCACATTTTATCTATTCTGAATAATCATAATAATCCACACATGCTCACACACACACACACACACAACACACACACATATATATATATATATATATATATATATATATATATATATATATAAGGTGTATTTAGGCAGCAAATATTTTTCAAGCATGCTGGTTTGAATAATATCGACAAGTTATGTCTATCCAACTTTTTTAAAAAGATAATAAAAAATTGCATAGACGATATTATTCACCAAAACATGGTTTGAATATATATATATATATATATATATCACTGACATGAATAGACAAAAATTAGTTTTATTATTATCACTCATGATAATAAAAAGTAAAAATGAAAAATGGGCAAGCTAATCGGTTTTGTACCTTGCTCAACAGAGGTAAATAGAGTAAATTATATAATAAAAAAACAAAAAAAAAAGAACAATGGATGAAATTTATTAGGGGAATAAAATAAAATAAAAAATTAAATGGCTATTAGTTGGAGGCCTAATATAAAGTCCTTCTGTTTACAAAAAGAAGGCCTTAAAGATAAAATATAGATGGCCTCCAACACTTTTAGGTGGTAATTTGAGTGGGACTTGCTAAGGATGGTAAAAGCATCTGCACTGAAACTAACAGCACAATTATGGCTATTTATAAGGTGTTCTGTAATGGAAGACCTATACGTATCATTATATAACAGTTATAGCTATGTTTTTTATCCGATTTTTGGTTTGATTTTTATAGTCTAACTAATATTTTGGTCATAATGGTTTGTTAATTTGTTTATTATTTACTTTATTTATTTGAGTTCACTGATTTTGTTTTATTTTTTATTTATTTATTCTATTTCATCTATTCTAACAGGTGTGATTTGGTAATTTGTTTGGGTTAATTTATTTTACTTATTTTATTCTCATTTTATTTTTTTATTTTATTTTTTTCAGTTTTCGACTTTTAAGTAACGTAGTAAAAATTTGTTTGTGAGCTCAGATCGTTTATTTAATAATTTATATTGGTCTGGGAAGGTAATAATAGCTATTTTTTTTATTTTTTCCTCCTAGCAAAGTTTGCAAGTTTTGGATTGGTTGTTGTAGGCTGATGATCTTTTCCTTATTTTCCAAGATATTTTTGGTGTGATTTGCGTTTTGTTTTTAATTTCCCAGATATACTTAAAAAGCATTGTGCTGTTTGCATATTTACTATTTGTGAAAGATGTTTTGTGTGCATAGTTTCTTTGTTTCCAGGGTCCTTCATTTACACCTATGTATACTTTTGTTTCGTTATCTGGTGATTTTATCATGGCTTGGTATATTACGTTGTTTTGTAAGCAATTACTGTTTAAAAGACATCTGTTCTTTATTCTGCAGCTACACGTGGTTTAATTTGTTCGTGTGGTTTGTTGATAGTTATCCTGTTGTACTTTTTTATGATTTGAGACATATTCTTGGTGCAACTGTAGCTGATTTTTACTGTATTATTGAGCAAGTACTATTCGTATGCGAGTGCTATTCGAAGGCATCTGATACCAGCATTGTTCAATGACATACTATAGTTGTATCTGCAATTACAAAGTCTCTACTACAAGGAGCATTATGAAAGTGACAATGAGTTTTCGTTGGCCTCCCAAAAAGTGGCAATGAGTGTTCGTTGACATCACAAAAGTGTGTGTGTGTATATATATATATATATATATTCAGCCGCCATCACCCATAGGAACCACTTCTTTCACCTATTTCGTAGCAACATGTTGGACTGCAATAAACGTCTCTTTGCCTCCACTAGTAATGAGTGTAAGTGTGTCCTCAACAAAGCTAAGTCAATATTTGCTGCTCGGATGAAGGAGCGTATTGCATCTCGCAAATTTGGCTCCAAAGATTATTGGCGGCTCTGCAAGAGTGTCCTGAACAATAGAAAACCCTCCATACCTCCTTTATTCAACCAGTTCAAGGTCTTGACCTCCTCTACCAACAAGGCTGAATGCTTTGCTCGACTACTCTGGTGTACCCATACCAAACTTCCCTCTAAGAACTGAGGCCCTCTTGAGCGGCTTACACATAACCACATCATTGGTATTGGGCATTATCTCCAATTTAGACCCCCACAAGGCTAGTGGTGGAGATGGCATACCAGCCATTGTCTTGAAGAAATGCGTGCCTGAGCTAGCGCCCGCCCTCTCTAAACTATATAATTACTGCCTCAAGGAATCCTGTTTTCCTGACTGCTGGAAGTCCTCATCCATTGTTCTTGTCTTTAAGAACTCTGGAGACCACTCTGACCCCTCTAATTACCGTACTATTAGTCTCCTACCCCTCTTCGGCAAAGTCTTCGAAGCCCTAATCAATGCCGAAGTGGTTAACCACCTTACATCACATAAACTGCTCTCAGACAAGCAAGATAGTTTCCGCTACACCCAATCTACAGCTGATGTGCTTACGGCCATCACTGAAACTGTCTACCAAGCTCTTCAAAATAACGGGGAAGCTCGTGCTGTGGCCCTAGACATCTCCAAAGTGTTTGATAGGGTTTGACATGCTGGCCTTCTTCATAACCTCCAGGGTTATGCGATTACAGGTCGATTGTTTGATCTAATACAATCATTGCTGTCAAACCGTGAATTGAAGGTCGTTCTCAACGGATTCTCCTCCAGTTCCTATCCCACGAATGCAGGTGTTCCCCAAGGCTCCATCCTTGGCCACACTCTATTCCTTATTTTCATCAACGACCTTCCTGATGCCATAGATTCCCAAGTTTGCATCTACACGAACAACACTACAATTTACTCCTGCCTCAAAAACAAATCTAGTCGCTGACAAAACTAACCTGGCCGTGCGTCTCGAAATGGACCGCCAATCAGTTGTCAATTGGGTCAACTTTAACGCCTCAAAAACTAAACTACTCTCTATTAACCACCATAGAGATCCTTCCCTGCCCCCCATTAAAATGTCTGATAGTCAACTTCTTGAGAGCAACTCCCTGTGTCTGCTCAGTCTCGCGCTGACTGCTGACCTGAGATGGAACAAGTACATTGAGTCAATTGCTTCTTCCACCATGAGGAAAGTTGGCTCTCTGTGCCGCGCCAGGAAATTTTTCTCCTCGGAATCGATACTTCAAATATACAAATCAACCATTCGCCCTTGCATGGAGTATTGCTGCCATATATGGTCTGGGACATCTTCTGTTTACATCGGAGTTCTTGACAAGATCCAGAGACGGATATGTAATATAATTGGCCCTGATCTGGTGTCTCGTCTACAGTCACTCTCTCACAGACGCGCCGTCGCTTCTCTCTGTCTTTTCTAAAAATACTTTCATGGTAATTGCTCCGATGAGCTGCTTTCACTGGTTCCCAGACTCCATGAATTCAACCACCCTACGAGGCTGGCATCCCACTCCCACCCTTACACTGTAGAAACTTTTAAATGTAGCCATCTCTTCTACTCCAATAGCTTCATACATTGCACCTCTCACCTGTGGAACACCCTTCCCAATTACTGTTTCCCTGAGAGCTATAATCTCCAACTATTCAAATGTAATGTCAATCAACACCTCCAGTTACCTTGATCTACATACTATCCCTCTCCTCATCCTTTCTTCTATCACTCCTATCTGCTCTTGCTCCAAATCTTCTGCAACCCCCTGCATCCTAGTGGCTTCACGCCTTGCTCGAGAAAAAATATATATATATATTTTAAGACATTTTTACGTTTATACATTCTTTTTATAGATACAAATATTTAAGTAAATGCTCTGTTTATAGTAAACAGTATTAGACAACATTTGCCAGCCTGAATGTATGAGGAATTTTCATAGAAAATATTCGTTCTCCGACAGGAATCAAACCTGTATCCTATACGGAACCGTCATATAGCCTGATGTGTCTTTAACCGATTTTGCCACAGAGGAGCATTCAGTTAGCAAGGTCAATTTTACTGTCTTTAAACTACAATCTTCCATGATTCTCTCACGTACATTCATATCTGCTCATGGCGTATCCAAATGTAAACAAATGACGTCACACATTATGAAATGGAAAAAGTCCGAAAATTATTTTAAGACATTTTTATGTTTATACATTCTTTTTATAGAATAAATATAAAAATGTCTTAAAATAAATTAGAATTTCATCAGACTGGGATTTACTGATGTTTCTATGTTTACATATACACATGAATGGGAGATGCAGTTATAGTTTTAAAATTTTTGAAAGAATTTTTTTTTCTCAATCTAACCAAAATCATCTGAATTCTTTTTCTTTTTCTCTCCATCAACTTTGTCCCTGACTATCCCACACTGTGACAATATAAAATCTACCAAAAATAGTGATATATTGGCAGAGCCTGGACACAAGTTTACCATGGCTGAAGTAGCAATCAAGGCACTTTCCAGACATTTTCGTCTCAGTGGATTATTTTCTCTTTTAATCAATGTTAAGGAATATTATGGTGTTTTATGT